GGCTGCCCCCGCGCGGCGGGAGCGCCCCGGGGCGTGGGGTCCGGGCGAGGTCACACGGACAGAAACACGGGGATACTCCCAGAGAAAGGGGAATAAAACGTCTCTTCTCCCCTGCGGGGCGAGCAGGGCCGAGCCCAAGTGTCGCATCGCCGGGGGGGCTGAACCTGACTGAAACTTCAGTCTATAAGGTCCGGCTTTGGCCTCAGAGAACTGAAGGGCATAAGGATATCTATCTATCTATCTATCTATCTATCTATCTATCTATCTATCTATCTATCTATCTATCTATCTATCTATCTATCTATCTATCTGACAAAGCAGAATGTTAGGCGGTGTAGGAATTCCCTCCCCTCCCCTCTCATCTTTAAAAATACATGTAGATCAAAAGGGCAGCAATACTTTTACCTGATTTGATTTTTTAAAACGGGAAATTCAGTATCAGTGTGTCTTGCACAGCTTTCAGCCTTCTGCAAACTTCTTGAAAAAAGGGGAATTTTCCCACCTGCAGATCCGTTAGGGATGTGACAAGTGTCCAGCATGACAAGTCCCTATCCAGTGCCAAACTACTCCAAAAGCTTTTGCGTTTAAACGAGTTTGTTATTTCTTCTTGGACCAAACAAATGCATACGCCACACGGAGGCTCATTTTACTGTTAGATTTATGGAGCACCACTAGATATATAAACCCAAATCACTGCAGTTAAACAGCATGTGAAATTCCTGCAAAGAACACATGAGGACAAAATGGTGAGCACAGCCTTTCCCTGGCATTTTTAATGCCTGCAGCAAGCGGTGGTTCCCCAGCAGTCGGTGCAGAGAGAGCTCCCTCTCCTGACGAAAATCCTTTTTAGCCCATGTCCACCCATGGGAGACTTGTTCCATTACTCAGTATTTACAGGGATCATGCCCACGGCAGTGTGAGACGCCATAAAAAGAAAATTTTAAACGAATATGGATACACAGCCCTGATAGTTTCGTTCATCTCCTGTATTATTCGCAAAAGAAAAGGTAATTTTATATTTTTTTTCCTTACTGCAGCAAGATTACCCCTGTCAACAGAAATCATCCAGGCATGCAAACAATTCATCTGAGAGCCTTTCACTTTACTAGAAAAGCAAAAAAACCCACCCTACCCTAGAATAGTCATATTGTCTGCTCAAGGGATCAGTAGTCTGACAGTTTTAAGCAGGTGAGATGCTCCTGTCTGCAGGCAGGTGACTCTGTGCAGTGCTGCTTTGCATTGCAGCTGACTCAGGGAGGATTTTCCAGGAGCATCCATGTTGAATCTCATGCAGGGTTCACACTATGTACAAATGTCTCCAATAAATAGGGTAAATGCTTGTAATAGGAAGTAAAGTGAGTTGGATTTCAGACCAACTGGAGAAATAATTGAGCCTGCACAGAATAGGCTGCACCAGAGATTTCAACTGGCTATTTTTAATCCTTTGAAGACTTTGCTATTTCCCACTTTTTTTTCCTTCATTTAATCTGACTTGTAATGAATAGTCCTGGTTTTATAAAATGGAAGGTGCTAATGTATGGAACATTTTAAAAAGCTTTATTTTACAACTGTCAGAAACCTCTCCAGCTTGCCAAAACATGACCGTGGATGTATCCTCTTTGATAAAGAGGAGGAGTTGAGAACACTAACTCGGGGGCAGCAACAGAACTGGTTGTAACACAAGGTTTCCACTTCCTAGGGACTTAAAATGGAAAAAAAAGGAACCAGAGAGAGTAACTGAATCAGGCTGGAAGGAAAATTGATTGATTTTTGGTGTGGAGGAGCAATCTAAGGAGAGGATACTCCAGGGCAGGGCTCGGTGGGAGCCTCTTCTGCCTCCAGGATGCAGCTCAACCCTCTGGGTCATCTCTGCTGCAATGTACAACAAAACACAGAGGTCTGGGAGTCCTCAGGCAGACCTGAATGCTCAGGGTGTGCAAGCAATGAAGATCCCATTGCTGTAGTGCAGAGTGAGATGCAATCCTCCAGATCTCACCAGGACTCCTACTCCCACTTATCTGAACCTCATCCAAAAAACCCAGAGCTCTCATCTCCCTCAAAGCCTCCGCTGCAATGCTCCGTGACCATAGCTAGCCTGCCCTCTGGGTAAATCCATGCTATAGGAAGTATTTTCTGTGGATTTAACAGATGGGTGAGCTGAGAGGAGGGATGAAGTGCTTTGTTTAGGGCAGAGGTGGTAGGGGAGGTTTGTCATCCCACTCCATGGCGACCACCCGCTCCATCTGCTGACACTTCCGTGCACGATGTCAATTCCAACGTGACTCTGATTCGTCTGCCAAGTGCTGCATGTTGGTGTTTTGGGTTGATACTTGGAGAGCTCTGTGAAGATACTTCATTAGGCAAAATTAATTCCTTTGAGAAGAACCTTCTGGCAGTACTTCAGAAAGTGTTAGGAAACAACTGTTGTTCTGACACTTGTTAAAAATTGGCATTAGCCGTTTCCTAATTTATTTTTAAAAGGACAATCAAGCCACATTGCTCCCCAGGTCAAACGAGAGCTGTGACATACCTGCCAGCATTCCTATGAGAACATGAGGTGCCAGACCTCCTCTAAATGACAGAAGTCACTTCCCACAGCTGTCGTTGCCCTGAAAAGTTTCCCTTCTCCTGAGCTGTCAAGTCCTCTGTGTTTCTGTCCCTTTTTTTTGCCACCTTCACTGTAAGTGTGGGGTCTGATGATAATAAGACAGGCATAGTAGAAAGGAGGATCATAAGTGGTGACCTTGGTGGCCAGCCCTGCAAAGTGATGTCAATTTCCCAGCCTCAATTTTGGTTTAATGGAGACAACACTTTAAATGGGGTATGTTTTATTTTAGGTTTCCCGCAGTGTTTTCTGCTTGGCAATTCTCTGAGAGACTGTTATTGTACCAGAGAGCACATTTTTTAGAATCCTTTTTATCCCCCTCCCTTAATATAAAGCCTATCATCTGGGAGCACTCTGTCACTGCTGTTTCTGAGCTGGAGATTTCTCTGAGAGCAGCTACCGCTAATAATATCAATTATACAACACTGAGGTTCCTGTTCTCCTATTTTGACTGGAGGAAGGCCATATAATTTACTGCCTTTTTTTTTTTTCTTTGCATGCAAACTTAATAGAAAGCTTTAGTCTTGCTGTGCCTAAGAGAGAACAGCAGTGGAAAGATTCACTTGGGTGAGCCACAACCCCATGTGTTAGGGTGGCTTAGTGTGCAAGGGTGAAAAAGATTTAGTAAATGTGCATTAAAAGGGTCTGATGCTTGTCAGACCTCCCTACTGTCTATATGTTTGTAAAAAGAGTGTTTGGATGTGCTAACATGATCCAAACTTTCTTATGGATGATGTTTTAGTTATTAAAAGAAACATAGAAAATGACCAGGAATGGCAGCTGTGGAGTCTTTTTAATACTGTCAAATCTATAGCATTTCCATCCTACAGTAACTTTAAATAGACAAAAATGTATTTTAAAGGGCTTAAGGAAAAAAAATCATATCTTTTAACCAATCTTTCTAGTGACATGAAAACAAAACCACCCAGAGCCATTAAAGCCCAGCTAAACCCATGTACTGCATGTCCAGAGCTCCAAAAATTAACAAGATTCGAAAACTGAAAGTGTCTACTAACAGATGGTTGGTGGCCAGGAGTACAAAATGAGTGATGGCAACGAAAATAAAACTAGAAAATTTCAATCCATGGTGAAGAATTCTGAATAGCAGCACAGAGCCTAGCACTGTCTGTATGTCAGGTGTTGCAAGGTTACCTTGATTAGAAACCCTCTTCTAAAGAGGCTAAAGAGATCCTGTCCCTCTGTTGCACCGGTAGCATGTTTCCATTTTTTCTGCCCTGGGGGAAAAGAAGTATCCTGTTTCCTTGAATAGCTGATTAGCATCATTTTGTGATGTCCTCGGAGGGGATTATTTTTGACCTAATCATCTACAGGAAAGTTTGGAGACTTCACTCGGTGTGCCCCGTCACAGTGCTGAGCACACGTAGTGGAAGACACAGAGTCAGACGGCCCTGCCCAGAAGAACTTTCTGCCTGAAAGAAGTTTTTTCATTTTCTGTTTTTTAAAACAGAGTTCCTTCCTCAATGTTGCCTCTCGCATGAGCGGCTGAGAAGGGATAAACCGGGAAAGAAGTGTACAAAATAAAATACAATGGATTTTCTAATCTCGTGGCTGGAAAATGTGGTCTCCAGGGTAGTTTCTAAACTAGGAAAGAGACTGCCTCTTCCACTCTAGCATGTATCTTATCTGTCATGAAGAAGTTTCTCTCCCTACAGATGCTCTAAGGATTATTGGACGTCATCCTAAGCATGCCCACAGTTCTATAGTGATGGCCTTGCGTTTCAGAGGGGGTGATGCCGTGGGGAAAAGCACGAGAAACTCTGTCCTTGGTAAAGCAGAGGCTTTACTTTGTCAGCCTCTTGAAGATGGGTGTAGCTCAGGGCAATCAGTGGAAGTTTCAGAGACCAGCACTTATTATTTACTAAAGCAATCAAATAAATCCAAAGTTGTAAGAGGCTTGCTCTACTTCCTGCTGTAGGCCTGCCTAGTCCTTTGCTCTCTTTCAAAAAACACCACTAGCACCCAGTGTCGTGCCTCCAAGACTCCTTTATTTATTTATTTTTTTTTTTTTGAACAACGTGTCTAATACTAAAGATTTGTGGGGTTTGGGGCCAATGCAGCATAATTTTCTTCATCGTTGGGGCCCGTTGCTAGGGGCTGGGGGCACATCAGCCAGCACCACTGTGACAGCGCTGGGCGTCAGGTGGTGTGTCACAGGGGGGCCCTTTGTGACACCCCACCGCAGCGTGTGTGGTGAGCACAGCCCCGGTGTCACCCCAGTGTCCGTCAGGACGGCGACGCGACAGGACGGGAGCACGGAGCTGTCGAGGATCTTCTGAGCACAGCTCCAGGCTTTCCCTGTTGGCCCGTAGTGCGATATTGTTTCCGCCAAGCTTCCCGCTTCCCCCTTCCCTACTTCTAGTAGTTTCCTGATAGGATGGAGCAGACACCCCCCAGCAAGCCCAGGGTGACCTGGGCGGAGGAGGGTGCTGCCCAGAAAAGCGGCTCTCCAGAAGAGCCCCATGAGGTGGCCTGGGCAGCGGAGGGTGCTGCCCAGGAAAGCAGGTCTCCAGCAGAACTCTCCCAGTGGATCCTGGTGAAGCCAGCGCAGACGGGGACGGGTGAGTGAGGGGACTGGGCAGGGCTGGGGCCTCTGCAGCGCACCCTGCAATGATCCTCCTTGCTCTCTCCCTCTCTTAGATGTCAGCTTGTTCCCCCTGTCCAGAGAAGAACAGGAAGTCGTGGACTCCATCCAGGCTCTGGACAGCCCCGCAGAGGTAAGCGCGGCCAGTTGGACGGCAGCTGTGCCAGCATCTAAGGCAGGGGCTCTGCTGCTGGGCTGCTGCAGGGCTGCTGGCCGGGCAGGGCCGCTGCTCCTGCAGGGCGCTGCAGCTCAGGGCTCCAGTCTCGCTGGCCACGTTTCCCCCCTCTCACGCTCCCCGTTTGTCTCTCTGTCCCTCGGCTGCCAGAATCTAGCCCACGAGACCGCCTTTCTTCAGAAAGTCGTGCGCCTGTGCAGAAGCACCACAGGCAGCGGCTCATCACAGCGCTTGGTCCACTTCTGCCACAGATATGAGGTGGTAGAGAGGATCCAGGTGAGGGGACACTGGGTGCTGTGGGGAAGGGGGCAAGGCCCCTGGCACTGGCAGGGTCTGGGAGGCCGAGGCTCTGGTGGCACCGGGTGCTGGCAGCTGCCGGGTCCCAGCTCAGCTGTGCTCTGCAGATGCTGCTGGAGGCCAAGGCCCGTATAAATCAGCGTGCCAGGAAAAGCTTCACCAGGGATCCGGGCGCGCTGGTGGACGCCCACAAGGAGCAGATGAAGCACACAGAAGTGCAGAGACTGGCCCTGTTTACCATTGAAGTGCTGAGGTACCCGCCCATGGCTCCCAGGGACCCCTTTCCCCGGAGGACTGTGGCCCCCTGCACAAGGCCTGGAGGCGCTTCCCCCGGCACCACTGTCCAATTGGGCCCTTCCCCTTTGCAGCGCGGTGCCCGAGGTGCTGGAGGGCAAAAAGAGAAGGCTCCTGGAAGCCTGCTTCCGAGCCGTTCTCTTCCTTCCTCAAGACCACATCTACGTAAAGGGGGACGTGAGCTCAGGAAGAAGGTAAGTGCTGGCTGAGCTGCAGGAGCCGCCGGTGCCTCTGGGCTGCTCTCCGGCCATCCTGCGTGTGAAGTAAGATACGCAGGTATCCCCAGAAATGCCGAGGCAGCGGAAAGGATTCAGAAAGTTTCTTTAGAGGGCCAGAACCCCAGAAACCTAACGGTGTGGTTTGCACACTGGGCCTCAGGGAGAAAAAGGCACCTGGTGCCGTTTTCTCCTTGGGGTTTTTGTTATGCCTGCTGCCCGATCTCTCCCCACTGGAATGCGAAGGCCCGTGGCATCTGCTCTCTGCTCACAGTAGACTGCCTGCTGCGAGGTCTCTGCTGGGCAGTGTGGGCAGCTCTCCTTCCCTGGCACTGGGAGCTCAGATGAGTCTCCTGGGGGTGAAGAATCACTGCCACTGCTCTCTGTCCTCCTTGCAGACCCTGCGAGCCCTGGACAGCGTGCTGAAGGCAATAGTGCAGAAGAGTCCTCCCTCCAGAATGGGCGAGGAGCTGCAGAACATCTTTCAGGTCTGGCCTGTGCAAAGAGTGGGAGTCCTGGGGTTGTTCCTCATCCTGTGGGGGAGGGCTTGCCCACTCCTGGCTGGGTGGTCCCCAGACAAGTGCCACGGAGGCAGAGCACGCCTTGCTGCCTGGCCTGCAAGGGAGCCCAGGGACAGGAGCCCCGCTACAGGCTTTGCTCAGGGTCCCTGAGGGACAGTGCAAGTCCTGCCCAGGAGCGGAGCTGCTGCTGCTGCTGCTGCTGCTGGAGCGGGTGTCTGCTCCTGAGGCTCACCAGCAGCTTCTCTTTGCTCAGGTGCTGGTGGAGTTTGCCAGATATGGCATCACCTCCGCGCGGCAAGAAGCCATGGCGAGGATTTGTGAGCTGAGCAGATGGATGGACAGCTATTCCAAACGGAAGGTAAGGCCCAGGAACCCTCCAGCCGGGCCGTGCCCCTCCCCTGCTACTTTCCCTGCCAGGGCTGCTGGCCGGCTGACGGCTCCAGGAGACAGGGCCACAGGGTCCTGCAAAGCCTGGACTCCCCAGGGATCCAGCCCTGGGCACACCCTTGGGCATGGGGCTTTGGCACCAGCTGCCTGCCCTCAGCCCTGCTTCTCTTCTTCCTCCCTCCCTCCCTCCCTCCCTCTCTCCCACGCAACTGCCTGAAAAAAAAAGGACTCCACTGTCATCGAGATCTCCTTCCTCGGACAGCTGCTGGGATTTGTCCTCCTCGAGCCACTCGTGGGATGCCATGAGACTATTTACTACCTCAGTGAATTCATCTGTAAGCAAAAAGCTAAGGGACATTGTGCTGGCCTTCATCCCTCTGCACACAGACATCACCTCCCAGCTCTGCTTCTCTGCTTGACCACCTTTGCCCCTCGGGCTGCTTCCCCGAGCATCCCAGCTCCCTTTTGCTGTAGAAGCAGAGTGCTCTCCTCAAGCCTTGCACCTGTTCTCTGCCGCTCCCCTTCCCCGCTCCTTTCACCATCCTCAAGCCTGCCTGTTTGTGGAGCCCACTCTGACTCCCTCCACAATCTCCTTCTGTCCTACCATCTCGCAATGCGAATCTCTTGGTGCTTTGGAAAGCCTGACGGCAAAGCTGCTCTCCCTGACTTCCACGTCTGCCCCGCTCTGCAGGCAGGACCAGGCTAAGGGGTAAACGACACGCGCGCCATGCAAAAGGTGAAAGCACCAGCCTTCTGAAGACTTACGAAAGCTACCGTATCAAGGTAATGAGCTGCCCCCTTGCTGAGACTCTTGTCCGTGCCATCGGCAGGGCACTCCCGTGAGCAAAGGGACCCAGAATCAGTGGGGCTGGCAGGGCCTCAGTGTCCCTGAGGAGAGGGTTCCTGCTGTCCCCAAGCAGGGACTATCTGAGGGCAGCACTCTGCTGGTGTCCCAGCAGCAGCTCCAGCTCTCCTGCCCACCAGCGAGCCCCGATCCTCTGTGGGGCCAGCACCCCGTGCCCATGAGCCCAGCCCTGCTGCCTCAGCCGAAGGGCCCTCTGCTCTCACCCTCCCCCGTGCACTGACTCTGGGCACTGCTGCCGGCACTGCTGGGCACCTGTGGCCAGGGCTGCTCTCGCTGCCCAGCTGAGCAGCACCATCAGGGGGCTTGGCGTGACATCTTTGCTCTCTTCCTTCCTGCCACAGCCCTTTGAAAGGTACCTCACGCGCTCGGAGAGGACGCACATCGTCCTCGCAGTCCTGGAGCAGAGAGAAGCAGACCATGCTGAAAAGCCATGGAAGAAGAGTGACTTTGCCTCCCAAGAGCGCTGGTTGAGAGGATCATCAGCCTTGGGGGAGTTCATGGATAAACCGTGCTTGTACCTGACGGATGTAAGTGGCCTGTGGCTGGATTGCCGTGTCCTTCAGCCCTCTAAGGCCTCCTTCGTCTCCCCATCCCTCCCTCCCAAAGCCAGGTGTCTCAGGCACTTGAAGGCACCTTAAGGCAGCGGCAGCAGTGCGGTACGGAAAGGGCAGCTGAGGCTGCACTGCAGTGGCAGCACTGTCCTTACCGGTGTCCCCTTCAGGTGCCAAAGATTTTGAGCTTCCTTCGGAAAAGCCTGCTAACCATCAAGAAAGGACGAGTGCAGCAGGACTTCCACGACCTGCTTCTGCTGCTAGCTGACTTCTTCCCAAGGAAGGTAGTCGCAACACTGCTGAGCGCTCCACCACGAGACAGGTACTGGCCCTGAAAACCCTGAGGCCTTGTGGGCTGTGGGGAGGGGGAGCCTGAGACTCTCTGGCTCCCAGACCCAAGGAATGATGCAGGACAGCCCTGAGGAGAGGGGTTCTCCACGCCACCAGGCCTTCCAGCCCTGCTGGCTTGCCCAGGCCCGCAGCAGACAAAGCTGGCCGAGCCGGCCCAGAGCCAACAGCCTAGAGGGGAACACCACCTCAGTCCCCTCCTGCCTGCCCAGGCAGGGCCCTCAGGCACCTGGGCTGGCCCCAGCCATGCTGCAGTCGAGGCCGCCCTGCTGACCTAGTGCTCTGCCTTGCAGGGTGGCCATGGAAATGTGGCAGATCATTTTCGCCAAGCCACCGCTTAGAGAAAGGATACTGTGGTCATTCGCTGCCATGCTCTGGGTGGACTGGTGGCCCTGTAGTCTCAGCGCTTCCTCTTCAGAAAGCAGCTCCATGTCTGACTTGGCTGTGAGTTTGCAGAAAAGGACCTGATGCCCCGCCACAAGCCTTGCAGACTGCCAGGATCTCACTACTGTGCTTGCTTCTACAGCCATCGCCCAGCGACACCAGCATGAAGTTTGAGAGGGACGATGAGGATGAAGACTTGGAAGAGCTTCGCAACGACAACTTTGATATTGATGAGGAGCTTCCAACGCTGCCAGCCTCCCGGGTGCTCGAAGGCCTCCTGAGGCTGTTAAAGATACCTGGCATGGTGAGCATGGTGGCATCAGGGACAGGCAGGGCTCTGGGGCTGTGGGTAAGGCGGTGGCTTGGTGTGGGCTGGGAGGCAGGTGTTGGGGTGGCTGCTGCAAACTGCCTTGCTGCCACACTGGGGCCTGGTGGCTGCCTGGGGAGCTTTGCAGGCGTGCATCTTCTCACAAAAAAGAAACTCCGTCTTTCGTACAGGCACTAAAAATGGAGTTCTTGGTGCCACACCTAATGGAGCTGCTGTGGCTTGACCGGGAAGACCTGAAGAAAAAGGTCATGGTGATCCTGAAAATACTGATACAGGAAGGCATGAACAACATATGGGCCAGCCCCCCCCATAAGTATCTGATGGAGAACCTCCCGCGCTTCCTCGACATGGTAAGGCTGATGTGGGAGCGTGAGCCCTGAGATGGGCACTGGGCCATGACAGCCGCCCTGCAGCCCAGCCCTGTCAGCAGCTCTCGGAGCAGGCTCTGCTCCCCTGGGCTCTTGGGGCTTCTGGGCCTTGCAGCCCAGTGCAAGTTGTCCCTGCTCTGGAAACTGACGCCAGGGCATCTCCCTCAGCCACCATGCCCACCTCCCTTCACTGTGGGCAGGGGCCGCTTTTTCCCAAGCTCACCATTCCTCCTTCCTACCAGGAGAGCAGCGACTTGCGCGAGTTCTTCATCTGCCGCTTCAAAGACTACCTGAGCTCTGAGGTGGCGAGGAACAGGAGCAAATTCAAGGCGTCTCTACGGAGGGTACTGGTGCCGCTGATCATTCGCACCAGTGACCAGCCCCCGAGTGTGGGCAAGGTACAGATTTGAAGGCTGAGCACTGGCAGAGGGAGAGGTGGGCTGACCCGTCCTGTGGGGCCCAGGCTGTTAACAGGGCAAGGGCTGCTGGCAGTGGGCGGCCGTCCTGCGGGGCTGTCCTCAAAAGTCCCCTAGACCCTTTGGCGAGGGCAGCTTCCTAAGGGCAGGATCACCCCAGGAACAAAGCCAAGAGCTCTGCTTTGCCAGCCTTGGTGCTATCTCACACCTTCTGCTTCTCTGCAGGCAGCCGAGGAAGCGCTCCTTGCTACAGCAAAGCTCCTCAAGTTGAGGGAGCTGAAAGAGCTGGTGAAGACACAGGAGCCGTGGAGGATCGTCGAGTGCTTGGTAAGGCCGAGCGGCAGCGTGCAGGCTGGGTGAGGCTTGTCCCGCCCCTGGAGCCTGCACTGTGCGCCCAGAGCCCAGAGCCCAGAGCCCGGAGCTGCACCCCAGTGTGTGTCCTCCAAGAACAGAGCCCCAAGGGCTCCTGTCCAGGCCCCTGTCCCTTCCCTGCAGCCAGTGGGTGAGAGGGCTCTGGGCAACCCTGAGTGCTGGCAGGAGGGACGGCTGCAGGCAACGGGAGGGCTCTGTGACATGCCCATGTCCTTGTGCTCTCTCCAGCTGGGGAAGGACAGCAGCAGGGCTGAAGAGTACCTGCGTCAGGGCCTGGCGTACCTCAAGGACCCCGAGGCCTCTGTGCGAGAGGCGGCCATCCGGTTCATCGGTGAGCCCCAGCGCCTGGGGACCCTCTTTGGGCAAGCTGGCCCCGTCCCTGCTCCTGCCCTGACAGCCAGGCACGGCCCTGGGGCTGCCCGAGCCCCAGCTGCCGCATGCTGGGCCTGGGCCTCCCTCCGCCCCACCCTGCCCACGCAGCTGGGCTTGGGGGCCGCTTAGCTGAGTTCCACCCCCCGGAGCTCCTGGTGGTTCCTGGGCTCATCCCTGTTGAGGGGGAGGACGGCAGGGCCAGGGGCCGGGCTGCTGGGACCCGCTGGGGAGCAGGGGCTGACGGAGCTTTGTGTCTAGGAATGGCCACGCGGCAAACATCCGTGAGCAGCTTCCAACACTCCCAGCCTGCAGGCGCTGTCCGAGACACCTGATCTGGTGAGCAGGGACAGCCATGTTGGCATCCAGGGCTCTGGGGCTGTGGGCAAGGCGGTGGCTTGGCGCGGGCTGGGAGGCAGGTGTTGGGGTGGCTGCTGCAAAGTGCCTTGCTGCCATGCTGGGGCCTGGTGGCTACCTGGGGAGCTTTGCAGGCGTGCATCTTCTCACATAAAAGGAACTCTCTCCTTCATACAGGCAGGAAAATTGGAGCTCCTGATGCCTTCAGATCTTCAGCAAAGCCACGAGTCAAACTACGAGCACTGCTCTTCCGTACTCCACTGATCCAATTGTAGACGGCTGTGATTTAATAAAGCACCAAAAAGAGGCCCAAACCCATGGTGTCCTTCAGATGCGCCCATCCTGGGCAGACTGATGTCTATTATGTAATTTTCACTTCCTTCTTTTTTCATCTAGTGGTCTGTCAGTTGGCAAACACACCTAGAAATCCCAATGAAAATCCTTTTAATTATAGTGAGCACAAATTAAATTCATTCGTTATTATTCATTTAATGACATAAATGAATCAAATAGTTGAAGTTTCTGGAGATCAGCTGGTCCAACCCCCCAACTCAAGCAGCGTGGCCTACAGCAGGCTGCCCAGGACCATGTTCAGGTTTTTGAGTATCTCCAAGGAGGAAGACTCCACAACCTCTCTGGGCAACCTGTGCCATGGCTTGGTCACCCCCACAGTGAAAACTGTTTCCAGCTGTTCACAGGGAACCTCCCAAGTTTCACTTTGTGCCCATTACCTCTGCTTCTGTCACTGGACACCACTGGAAAGGGCCTGGTTCTGTCCTCTTTGCACCCTCCAATCAGGTATTTCTACACATTGAGGAGATGCCCCTGTGAGTGTTCTCTTCTCCTGGTTGAATGGTGCCAGCTCTCCCAGTGTCTCCTCATATATGAGATGCTCCACTCAACAGGGAGTGGGAGGTGAATGAGTGCCCCTCTCCTGCCTTCTGCAGTCACATAGGGATACTGGAATTTCTTGTTGGACCATCTGCTGCCAATCCTGCAAACCTCCTACAGATAAAGGCAGGGAAGGGCAAATTCTTAATGTGATTAAACTTGAGCAGCTACAGAGATCTGTGTCTGTAGTTGTACCTCAGTTGGAGAGGGCAGGGAAATGGCACAGGCTGCAAGTACTATGCAAAACCCACAGTTAAACCCAGAACAATCCTGGTAAACCTCTTCCCTTTCACAATGCACCCACGAGGCTCTGACTGCTTGGGCCATCTCTTACATCATGGAAGAGACCTCTGGGATCAGTGGCTGGCAGAAGGGCCATGTGAAACTGCACATCCTCTTACCAGAAACCACGTTTTGGATATCCATCTTCTGTGCCAGCTCCTAGTCCTCATCTTCTCCCTTCAGGCTTCCACATGTTTCTCAGCCTTTTGTCCACTGACCTCTGTGCAAAATAAACATTTCATAAGCAGACGTTTACTGTGGGTCTGTGCTCTTACACTGGGACAGAACATTCCACGGCTGCACTGAATGAAGTGAATGGTTCCAGCAACACCAAAAGGGATGATGTTTTCGCCCTCTCCTGGCACAGCCTGAGCAATGCAGCAGTACAAAGGGATGCACGGCAGGAGGAAAGGAAAGAAAAATTCTTTGCTAAAAATACGAACTATGACAGGGGCTGTCCTCAAAAGTCCCCTAGACCCTTTGGCGAGGGCACGTCCCAGCTTCCTAAGGGCAGGATCACCCCAGGAACAAAGCCAAGAGCTCTGCTTTGCCAGCCTTGGTGCTATCTCACACCTTCTGCTTCTCTGCAGGCAGCCGAGGAAGCGCTCCTTGCTACAGCAAAGCTCCTCAAGTTGAGGGAGCTGAAAGAGCTGGTGAAGACACAGGAGCCGTGGAGGATCGTCGAGTGCTTGGTAAGGTCGAGTGCCAGTGTGCAGGCTGGGTGAGGCTTGTCCCGCCCCCAGAGCCCGCGCTGTGCGCCCAGAGCCCGGAGCCCAGAGCCAGGAGCTGCACCCCAGTGTGTGTCCTCCAAGAACAGAGCCCCAAGGGCTCCTGTCCAGGCCCCTGTCCCTTCCCTGCAGCCAGTGGGAGAGAGGGCTCTGGGCAACCCTGAGTGCTGGCAGGAGGGACGGCTGCAGGCAACGGGAGGGCTCTGTGACATGCCCATGTCCTTGTGCTCTCTCCAGCTGGGGAAGGACAGCAGCAGGGCTGAAGAGTACCTGCGTCAGGGCGTGGCGTACCTCAAGGACCCCGAGGCCTCTGTGCGAGAGGCGGCCATCCGGTTCATCGGTGAGCCCCAGCGCCTGGGGACCCTCTTTGGGCAAGCTGGCCCCGTCCCTGCTCCTGCCCTGACAGCCAGGCACGGCCCTGGGGCTGCCCGAGCCCCAGCTGCCGCATGCTGGGCCTGGGCCTCCCTCCGCCCCACCCTGCCCACGCAGCTGGGATTGGGGGCCGCTTAGCTGAGTTCCACCCCCCGAGCTCCTGGTGGTTCCTGGGCTCATCCCTGCTGAGGGGGAGGATGGCAGGGCCAGGGGCCGGGCTGCTGGGACCCGCTGGGGAGCAGGGGCTGACGGAGCTTTGTGCCTAGGAGTGGCCATGCGACACCTGAGGAACCGAACCACAGACACACTGGATGAGATCTGCAGCGGTGAGTGGGGAACATGGGCTGGAGGGGACACTGGGGGGTCTCTGCAGTCACAGGCATTCATCTCGACTCTGTTTCTTTTGCTCGCAGCCCTTCAGCCCTTGACGAAAGACAGCAATGAGTTCGTCTCTTCCCTGGCCCAACAGACAATCTACGTTCTGAAGGCTTTAGGACCAACACCACCGCCTCGCTTCAGTCTAGAATCACTGCTCTTCTGGCACCGCCGTCCACATCCATGAAGAGCTTCCAACACTCCCAGTTCCCAGGCGCTGTCCGAGACACCTGATCTGGTGAGCAGGGACAGCCATGTTGGCATCCAGGGCTCTGGGGCTGTGGGCAAGGCGGTGGCTTGGCGCGGGCTGGGAGGAAGGTGTTGGGGTGGCTGCTGCAAAGTGCCTTGCTGCCATGCTGGGGCCTGGTGGCTGCCTGGGGAGCTTTGCAGGCGTGCATCTTCTCACAAAAAAGAAACTCTGTCCTTCGTACAGCCAGAAAAATGGGAGCTTCTGGTGCCGAACATGATGGAGCTCGTGTGTCTCGGCAGCAAAGACTTCTGGACAAGAGGTTGTGATGATGCCTAAAAACCGGATGTGTCAATATCTGAATAAGACAAAGGCCAGCCCCGCCACTGAGGATCCGGTGGAGAACCTCCCGCGCTTCCTCGACATGGTAAGGCTAATGTTTGAGAGTGAGCCCTGAGATGGACACTGGGCCATGACAGCTGCCCTGCAGCCCAGCCCTGTCAGCAGCTCTCGGAGTAGGCTCTGCTCCCCTGGGCTCTTGGGGCTTCTGGGCCTTGCAGCCCAGTGCAAGTTGTCCCTGCTCTGGAAACTGACGCCAGGGCATCTCCCTCAGCCACCATGCCCACCTCCCTTCACTGTGGGCAGGGGGCCGCTTTTTCCCAAGCTCACCATTCCTCCTTCCTACCAGGAGAGCAGCGACTTGCGCGAGTTCTTCATCTGCCGCTTCAAAGACTACCTGAGCTCTGAGGTGGCGAGGAACAGGAGCAAATTCAAGGCGTCTCTACGGAGGGTACTGGTGCCGCTGATCATTCGCACCAGTGACCAACCCCCGAGTGTGGGCAAGGTACAGATTTGAAGGCTGAGCACTGGCAGAGGGAGAGGTGGGCTGACCCATCCTGTGGGGCCCAGGCTGTTAACAGGGCAAGGGCTGCTGGCAGTGGGCGGCCGTCCTGCGGGGCTGTCCTCAAAAGTCCCCTAGACCCTTTGGTGAGGCACGTCAGCTTCCTAAGGGCAGGATCACCCCAGGAACAAAGCCAAGAGCTCTGCTTTGCCAGCCTTGGTGCTATCTCACACCTTCTGCTTCTCTGCAGGCAGCCGAGGAAGCGCTCCTTGCTACAGCAAAGCTCCTCAAGTTGAGGGAGCTGAAAGAGCTGGTGAAGACACAGGAGCCGTGGAGGATCGTCGAGTGCTTGGTAAGGCCGAGCGGCAGCGTGCAGGTTGGGTGAGGCTTGTCCCGCCCCTGGAGCCCGCGCTGTGCGCCCAGAACCCAGAGCCCAGAGCCAGGAGCTGCACCCCAGTGTGTGTCCTCCAAGAACAGAGCCCCAAGGGCTCCTGTCCAGGCCCCTGTCCCTTCCCTGCAGCCAGTGGGAGAGAGGGCTCTGGGCAACCCTGAGTGCTGGCAGGAGGGACGGCTGCAGGCAACGGGAGGGCTCTGTGACATGCCCATGTCCTTGTGCTCTCTCCAGCTGGGGAAGGACAGCAGCAGGGCTGAAGAGTACCTGCGTCAGGGCCTGGTGTACCTCAAGGACCCCGAGGCCTCTGTGCGAGAGGTGGCCATCCGGTTCATCGGTGAGCCCCAGCGCCTGGGGACCCTCTTTGGGCAAGCTGGCCCCGTCCCTGCTCCTGCCCTGACAGCCAGGCACGGCCCTGGGGCTGCCCGAGCCCCAGCTGCCGCATGCTGGGCCTGGGCCTCCCTCCGCCCCACCCTGCCCACGCAGCTGGGCTTGGGGGCCACTTAGCTGAGTTCCACCCCCCGGAGCTCCTGGTGGTTCCTGGGCTCATCCCTGCTGAGGGGGAGGACGGCAGGGCCAGGGGCCAGGCTGCTGGGACCCGCTGGGGAGCAGGGGCTGACGGAGCTTTGTGTCTAGGAGTGGCCACGCGACAAACATCCGTGAGCAGCTTCCAACACTCCCAGTTCCCAGGCGCTGTCCGAGACACCTGATCTGGTGAGCAGGGACAGTCATGTTGGCATCCAGGGCTCTGGGGCTGTGGGCAAGGTGGTGGCTTGGCGCGGGCTGGGAGGAAGGTGTTGGGGTGGCTGCTGCAAACTGCCTTGCTGCCACGCTGGGGCCTGGTGGCTGCCTGGGGAGCTTTGCAGGTGTGCATCTTCTCACATAAAAGGAACTCTCTCCTTCATACAGGCAGGAAAACTGGAGCTCCTGATGCCTTCAGATCTTCAGCAAAGCCACGATTCAAACTACGAGCACTGCTCTTCCGACGCCACTGATCCAATTGTAGACGGCTGTGATTTAATAAAGCACCAAAAAGAGGCCCAAACCCATGGTGTCCTTCAGATGCGCCGCATCCTGGGCAGACTGATGTCTATTATGTAATTTTCACTTCCTTCTTTTTTCATCTAGTGGTCTGTCAGTTGGCAAACACACCTAGAAATCCCAATGAAAATCCTTTTAAGTATAGTGAGCACAAATTAAATTCATTCGTTATTATTCATTTAATGACATAAATGAATCAAATAGTTGAAGTTTCTGGAGATCAGCTGGTCCAACCCCCAACTCAAGCAGCGTGGCCTACAGCAGGCTGCCCAGGACCATGTTCAGGTTTTTGAGTATCTCCAAGGAGGAAGACTCCACAACCTCTCTGGGCAACCTGTGCCATGGCTTGGTCACCCCCACAGTGAAAACTGTTTCCAGCTGTTCACAGGGAACCTCCCAAGTTTCACTTTGTGCCCATTGCCTCTGCTTCTGTCACTGGACACCACTGGAAAGGGCCTGGTTCTGTCCTCTTTGCACCCTCCAATCAGGTATTTCTACACATTGAGGAGATGCCCCTGTGAGTGTTCTCTTCTCCTGGTTGAATGGTGCCAGCTCTCCCAGTGTCTCCTCATATATGAGATGCTCCACTCAACAGGGAGTGGGAGGTGAATGAGTGCCCCTCTCCTGCCTTCTGCAGTCACATAGGGATACTGGAATTTCTTGTTGGACCATCTGCTGCCAATCCTGCAAACCTCCTACAGATAAAGGCAGGGAAGGGCAAATTCTTAATGTGATTAAACTTGAGCAGCTACAGAGATCTGTGTCTGTAGTTGTACCTCAGTTGGAGAGGGCAGGGAAATGGCACAGGCTGCAAGTACTATGCAAAACCCACAGTTAAACCCAGAACAATCCTGGTAAACCTCTTCCCTTTCACAATGCACCCACGAGGCTCTGACTGCTTGGGCCATCTCTTACATCATGGAAGAGACCTCTGGGATCAGTGGCTGGCAGAAGGGCCATGTGAAACTGCACATCCTCTTACCAGAAACCACGTTTTGGATATCCATCTTCTGTGCCAGCTCCTAGTCCTCATCTTCTCCCTTCAGGCTTCCACATGTTTCTCAGCCTTTTGTCCACTGACCTCTGTGCAAAATAAACATCTCATAAGCAGACGTTTACTGTGGGTCTGTGCTCTTACACTGGGACAGAACATTCCACGGCTGCACTGAATGAAGTGAATGGTTCCAGCAACACCAAAAGGGATGATGTTTTCGCCCTCTCCTGGCACAGCCTGAGCAATGCAGCAGTACAAAGGGATGCACGGCATGATGCCCATTATATTGCCTCTCCTCTCTTCCTTTAAATTATCTCCTTAAAACATCCACTCATATCATGCTATAAAGGAAGAAAGAATCTATACTTAAAGGCTTAATTTGGGGATGTCTGCAGAGTGCTCTGCAAATGGGATGGTGTGCTGTGCATTTGCCATTTAAATATAGCTGTATACACACCCTTGGCCTTCTGAATGGCTGAAACCCTCGTAGCAGGTGATCACGAGACTTTCTATAATTGAAATGAACTTAATCCTGACAAAAATGTAGCAGCAGCTGCTGTAAAAGCTGTGGCTGCTCTCCAAGTATTTATTACATTTCCCTGATCCATATATTAGAGTGATGCCATGCTGCAGAATCCTGACACAGAGTGTCTCTTAAAAGAGAGCTCTGTATTTTAGGTTTAAGGGCTTTGTTGTGTTTTTCATAAGAATGTTTTTCTCTTGTGTGATGATTGTCACACGAGGGTCTGAGTTGCTTGGATATTAATTACTTAGGTCCTGCAACAATAAAGTAAAAGGTAAATACAGAAATTCACTCTCTTTCTCCCTCACACAACTATAGTGGTACACATGAGTCATTGACTGTATGATGGGATGAAGAGGCAGAGCTGTTTTTAGAGGTAAAGATGAGCTGCCAGCCCAGAGGATGTGTGCAGGACGCTGAGAGGAGACAGCAGCCAGCTGGAACACACAAGAAATGACTGTGGCTGCCCTCCCAATTTAACCTTCATGACACAAATCTCTGCCTGAATCACAATGTGCTCTGGAAGACTGAGACAAGGGGCAGGTTCTTCTTTAATTCCTGATTTTTCACTGCTGTTTGAGGACTCCTGTCTGCCTTGGCTCCTCCAAGTCCTTCCTCCTCTTCTAACTCTGGGTATCCCTGGGCTTTGCCGAGTGGGACCCAGAATTCACACAGCACCACCAAAGAGCAACCATCAAGCCATTTCCCTGACAAGAGGAATGTCTCAGCCTCAAAGCCAAGCAAATCCAATAGTAAAAACGCAGGAAAAGCGGGGCTCAGCAAGTGTGCAAGAGGGACTGTGTGGAGTAGCACTGAGCTCCTGCTCCTTTGGAGCGACTGCAGTAAGGAGGGGGTCATGGCCCTTGAAAAATCCTCTGAGCAGGAGTACAACCGCCAAAGTGAAGGTGCATCACCTGGAAAAGCACTTGACTGGGAGAGATTTGCCAATGGTTTCCAGGGCTCACTGGTCCCTGCAGATCTGGACTCACCCTTCCCATATGTTGTGCTGTCACTTCTTTATGGCTTCGACTCCCAGGCATGGAAAACATTAACTCAGTCTTATTCAAACTGTTCCTTAGCCCTGAGCTAGCCAAGGCACATGCTCTCGTTTGCAGCGTGACATCCCAGGCTGTTTAAAGGGCAGGACAGAAGATGGTGCTGCTGAGCCAATGTATTTTAACAAGAAAACTTCTGGAGCTGCTGTTATGGG